GGCAGGCGGTTCCTCGCGGCTTCGCCGCTTTGTGCGCTCGCGCTCAAATTGCTTAAAAAAATTGCTTAAATCGCCAAACTACGCAGGCTAACAATACAACTGCAATTGATATTTTCAAAGCCTACACGAAATTAAGAGGCTGAATTTTCCATAAATTAAAATAGAAATTATGAAGGATACGAAGATAGATTTTCGATACATACAAACAGACAACGTGCCACATCTCAAAACAAGCTATAAAAGAAAAAAAACCTACCTTGACAGATTAAAGCTGGGAAAGAATGAAGTATCTCAAGACCGATAAATGGTACACAAAAGCGAAGCGGCTAACACGAAGCTTTTAAGGAGGCAGAAAATCCACTTGCGCAAGCTAACTACCACCCAATCTTCTCATCTATAGGATTAGTAGAATTCCTTTTGATCACGTGATTCTCGTAGACAGACAAACTTTTGCTGCCAACTTAATGAGAGCTTCGCACACACAAAAATCACAGCTTCCCACGCTTTTCAAACGCGTCAAAACAATCCTATGACAAAGCAATGCATTTTTCAACCACAATATTTTTGAAGGAGGTTGAAAGTGCAATGAAGCTAGGGTTTACAAAGCGAGTAATATTTGAAAGTTAGCTCAAATTGTATGAGCGGTTTTCAAAGCTGATTTTGAAAATAACACGGGTAGGGAAAATCTTTTAATTACTGCTTGCGCTCTCATAGAATTACTTATTTCACTAAGAACATGTATGCCCGTATCCCTGGTTTGCTGTGCAAGGAACTTGCTGTAGCGACCGCCTTGCGGTGTGAAAGGGGGCGCGAGAATACAGAACTACGACTCATTAGTCTGACAATCCAAACTGAAATTGCTAAATCGATCATCCACGGTTTGCCAGAAATTACAATCTGTATAACAAAGTAACGGTTCCAGAAACGGCTGTAAGGACCGGGCTCCAAAAACGGCTGTCAAAGATTGTGATGAACCGTACCGTACCTCTTCACCAGACTACTTCGCCGCTA